TAAAACGGATCAATACCAGCATTTAGTTGTAATAACAAGGGCAAACTATTGCTTGCTTTCTAAATCCTTGTTCTTCTGAAACCTTTCATTTAGGTCAGAAAGTCGCTGATGTCTGAGAGTAGAAGAAATCTGAAAGTCTCTTCAATAGTGATTTGAACGAACAAGCCTGGCAGATCATAGGTTAGTACTGAGAAAAATACGAAAACGTTCAAAAAATACAAGGAAAGATAAATTTGTAATAAAGAAAACATCGCCTCCGCTCAGGTTGTGAACCTCCAAAGCCCTTTCTAAAAATTTCGCAAAGGAAGTTCTTTTGGGATAAATATCTGTCACAGTGGGTTTTGTTTAACTGTTCACGACGACGGCAAGCGTGCTTCATCCAAGTACATACACAGGGGCACTCAACGACTGTTTCTGTAAAACAGCAGTTCGGAGAAGAAAATATTGCTTATAATTTTCTATTACTTAAGGACGGCCAAGAATTTCTAGATAACCGTTCCGTTCATGTATATTTTCGAAGCTTCTCTAATAAATTCACTACGATTTTCTGAATTTTAATTTCTCACATTTCACTCCCTAGATCAGGCTTTTTTTTCGTATAAAGACAAAACGAAATCTAAAATTTTCGGATTCAAAAATGTAATAGAGAGAGGAATCATAAAAAATCTCAATTTTGTAACACATAAATTGCATCTAAAATTTTCGGGAAAATAATAGAGAAGCCCTTGTAATTTCGAAAAGACTCGACGATTCCCCCGGCTAGGATGACCCAACAGATGTAAATTCTATTGCGCCGCTTACGGAATGGATTTCTGAAAAACAGGATAGCCTAAAGAGTGTTTTCAATGTATTCAGAAAGAAACCCCGTCGTTGGGTGCCCCTAAAATACAGTTTCCTTGTAGCTGAAGGTGCGTCTTCGATCTACAAATGTGTTGTATGTTAAAAGCATCTTATCTTTTATGGACTTCTGTTGCATGATGGCAGCTTGATTTGCGAAGTGTTAGTGGGAGTGAGACCCAGGCCTACTTAGACGAGCGAAATGTGTAATAGATTTTCAGTTGTCGAAAGCTAAATTTCTTGTTCTTGACATGTATTTAATTTAGATCCTTAAGTCTTCAGATATGACGCCTCACGGATAGCTGCTGCCATGAAATCCTAGCCATTGACTGGAAAACGGTACCTGGTGGGATCTTGCTCAACTCGTCAGAGGTAAGTAAAAATATCCCATGCCGGTCTTTCACCAAATAATGTGGAGGCACTTGTCTGAAATGAAATTGGGATGGGATCGAAGCTGGTAGCGGAAAATTCTTAACAAGAATGGACTAAATAGGCATGTGTTAAAACTGCTGAAAGCCGGAGAGAAAAAAGGGGTTACTCCACCTTTAATCGGTCAGAACCTTCACTTACACTTACACTTACCCCCTTTTCTAGAGATATGAAGGAACTGTCTGGTAAGGCACTGTCACGAGTAGGACTGGAATTATGGTTGACATGACAACCTGTTGTATTAATTATGTTGCTTGGTGACGATGACGACGACAAAGTAATGATGATGTCAGCGGCAACAGACAACAGTGGTGTTGATGATTAAGCCAATTCAATGACCTTCTTCAGCAGGTGAAACGAATTGAAACTTTGACTAGAAATATGTGTATCGCAGAACGTCGGGAAGCTTCTGGCAACGTCGTTCTCAGAGTCCTCTTGGTAGATGAGTAGGAGAGGGCCCTGGGAACGTGGTTGGTTTTGGGGTTGGATGATTGCCTGTACAAAGATTGGAATGGGGGGTGGGTAGAAATAAAGCAAATTTACTAGCTGAAGACCAAAATAACTCAACAGCAAAGTCAAAAGGGATTTGGGTTTTCCCGATAGTTTGGATGGTCTTGACGGTCCCCTTCTCGGAGGATTTACCAAAGGCCAGTAGGGATAAAACTGAAAATAATAACTTACAAATGAAGCACATGATGGACTCATTTGAAGCACAAAAGAAAAAAAAATGCCAAAAAAGTAAATAAATGAGGAAAAATGGAACAAAAACGAACTTGAAATAAGAAATAGATGAAAGCAACGAAAGATAAAAAGAAAACTAGTAAAATTAAATAATACAAAATAAATGTCATATTATAATGAAACTGAAAATAAGGTCAAATAAATAGTATAATAAATTATTGATAATAATAATGATCACGATAATGATAATAATAATAATAGAAAAGGAATTAACAGCGACGAAAACTACTTGATTGGTTTTTGAAACCGTAACTGCAAGGACAGTAATTAAAGCAGTCACGTTGCAGAAATCCAGCTAGAATTATTTTTGATTTGTAAAATTCAGTCACTTTAAACGTTTTTCCTTTTCTATTATTATCATTGTACTTATTAGTAACATAGTTATCGGTCATACTTAATTTATAAATATTTTTCCAAGTTTCTTTTTGTTTCGTTCTTTCTATTTATTTGCCTTTTTTGTGCGTAAGTTATTGTTTTCAGGTTTTATCCCTACTGACCAATGTTATTTTCCGCTAGTTTAAATTTATATGTGACATTTCCAACTGTGTCGCTTGCACGCTATATAAGGACGGTCTGACCATCCGAAATATCTAGAAACACCTTGTCGCTTTTGTCTTTGCTGTTTTGTTTTTGTTTTGTTATTGTGTGTTAAACGAATTGACCCCAAGAAGGAGTGAGAAAAAACCTAAGCTTTGATGATAAGTTCAGTCAAACATTTTGTCCTGAGATCTTGAGAGATTTAGGAGCAGTGAACGTTAACAAGCTGGGTAGCCATGATGAGGCACCGTGATGTGAAAAGGTCTGACGCCTGTTGCGTGGATGATGATGACGACGACGATGATGATAGCAATGTTGACGACGATGATGCTGACGACAACGATGACGATGATGCTGACGACGATAATAATGATGATGATAGTGACGGAAAGTCAAAGCTCAGTTTATAGCCATGGCGTTTTTACCTGGTAAGTATCAGAAAACTAATTCAAAGCTTCTTCATCAATAGCTTCTTCAAGAGACGGCTGGGAACGAGTCAGCTTTATAGGGTTAACCAAAGGGCCTAAACATCGCAACGAGAGGAGTAAGAGAAAACTAATCTTTGATAATGTGTCCAGTTGAACTGGAGGTATTGACTCGACACAGTCGTCTGCTCCCAGTCTGCTTTACTTACTGACATTAGGACAGCTTGGGATTCAAAATTCCATCAAATGAATTTTGCTTACATGTGTTTTAATTGAAAAAATAATAATAATTGAATTGTGAGTAGGCATTGATTGCAATTGCTTCAATGATAAAATTAAAGCTATTAACCAGAGTTTTTAAATGCACGACCAAAGTATTCTGCAGCAATAGCAAAATCAGTGAAGCTGGGAGATCTTGTTTAAAAATTAAGCAATAAATTGTACTTTCTGTTTTTGTCCCAACAGCTTCCAGGAAAAGAGTGCTATTGGGTGCGTCTATATATCATGTTGGAGGAAGAGTGTAGATGTGTGCTAACCAATTATCCTTTGTGCAGCACTAGAAACCAAGCGAAGAACAACTTGAGACTTCGACTTCGACTTTATCATATTTGAGAAAAGCTCATGTTTATGCAGACTTGTTGTTGCACCGCTTGTGTTTAAACTTTGTAAACTGGCCATTCCTAAAGCACAGTAAGTTTGAACTTGGGCCTCATATGTACCGACGACTGAAGTGGAAATATTTTTTCGAACACCCTTCTGTTAGAGACCTAGTGGAATTCATATCTTTACCGGTTTCCCGGAGAAACCTGGGTGGGCCTATTTTCCGCTGTTCTTTTTTTCTTAGTATTGTATCGCCGTTAAAAGCTAAACGAGGTGGCAGTCCTTACATCTTTACCAGTATGAAATTCCTTTTAACATATTGCTCCATCAAGAAGAACTAAAAGATTTTACACACGATTCTCAAATGACCACGCGCGTGACTGAAGGCGCGGGACGGGTGAGGCACGAACCGCGTGACTCTGACGCACGCGTTTATTCCCCTCATTAAATCTGAAGAGGATAAGAGGCTGCTCGTAGTCTATTTCGTGCCTGAAGAACGTGGCCGGGTATATAGCAAATAAGGGAACCATTATGTAAGGGAAGAAAGCTATTTTACAATAATGGAAGTCTTTCTTGCATGCATTTATGTAACTTGTTTTATCAATTCGGCTGCGAAAATTAGAGTGTATTTGGAACTTCTGAATTCTTCTTAATTAATGCCAAAAACGCTGACTTCATAGCTTAACGTGTAACATAAAGAGCAATAACCTTCTTAAGCATGAAGATTCTCAGAGGTTCCAAGGTAACGTTTTGCCTGTATCTGAATTCGCGAAAATTGTCTGCAAAAACGAAAAAATAAAAAGCAAATATAAAAGATTATTGCGACTATCTGCTGAGTGATAGAAAGCGAATCATAGCTTTTAATCCTTTTACATTGGTTCAATGAACGGTTAGCCCGTTTGCCAGCGCCTAAGAGGTAATGACGAATGAAACGAACCATGAGAAGGCTACGCTGATTGTGCTGATACATGCACCTATTCTCAGGTATTAAAACTGATTCATTCAGGCTTTAGTTGGATTCAAACCCACGATGTTTGTTTTGGTTACGGGCCTTGTGCTCCTAGTCCTCCAAAGAGTGCAATTTTCAAGGTGTAGAATCTCAGCAATCCACTGAATCTGTTCGCTGATAGCTTAAAGAAATAAATGGCATGTCAGCAGTGGACTCTGTAATTGGTTCTCTAACTGCTCAACAAACCGTTGTTTTGATATCACTTCCTCTGTTTTTAACAAGTATTTCATTTAGGTCAGAGATCGCAGAGGCTTCCGGCCGTGTTATGGAAGTTCTGAACTCAACTCTCATCAGCAGTGATCTATAACCTGTAAGTACCAAAATGTAGAAAGTAAAAAGCTTTAAGGTCAATAGTGCCCTTACTGCACCAAAGTCGTAACTTTATAGATAAACTGACTTCTGCTCCAGTGGGATTCCAACCCGTGAACATTGCTTCGTAAGTAGCAAATTGATATGAAATATTTTCATGAGATTCAAACGCCAGGGCCTCTGCAGGAACTGTCATGGTGCAACGTTTACTTTGATAATCTGCTTTTAGAAACTTTTTTTTAGATCTGGGCAGCTCCAGAGGTTGTCTCAGCTCCCAGTCGTTACATATAGAGAATTTTCACTCACGTGACAAGCATTCCTGCAAATTTACTGGAACAAGAGAATTTTTTCGTTTGCATGCGGATAAGAAAATAAGTCAACTCCCAGAGGACTGCTTTGCAACACCAACATTGCCGCCGTGACGTCATGTGAAAACGCTCTTGTAACCGGCCCAGTGACGTAGTGGTTGATCACGTGACCCTACCTACAAGACTCAAGGTATGTACCAGAAAGGAAGAAAATGTTCTCCCAAAATATCCTAAAATAACCCAAAAGCCCTTGATGATTATTTCAAGCCATCTTTAATTCCAGTAATCATCCGATTGAGCTCAACGAAGATGACCGTCGTGTCTTAATGGAGTTATACAAATCGAAGAGTCACTTCCAAAACAGAGCTTAAGATACTGTCTAGACCAAAACTACAAGGAGGAACAAACATCCAAGGATTAAAACGGATCAATACCAGCATTTAGTTGTAATAACGAGGGTAAACTATTCCTTGCTTTCTAAATCCTTGTTGTTCAGAAACCTTACATTTAGGCCAGAAAGTCGCTGATGTCTGAGAGTAGAAGAAATCTGGAAGTCTCTTCAATAGTGATTTGAACGAAAAACTAGATTTCTTGTTCTTGAGTTGTATTTTTTTTAGATCCGAACTGACTTCAGATGTGACGCCTCCTGAAGGGTAGCTGCTGTCATGAAATCCTACCCTTTGACATTGAAAAATATTCAATGCCCGTCTTTCACCAAATAATGTGGAAGCACTTGTCTGAAATGAAATTAGAATCGGATCGAAACTGTGGGCTGAAAATTGTTAATAAAAGTTTTGTTTCGAGTTAAATGGACTAAATAAGCATGTGGTAAAACTGCTGAAGCCGGAGAGAGAAAAAGAGGGGTAACTCCACCTCTAATCGGTCAGAACCTTCACTTGCAGCCTTGTCTCCTTTTTCTACAGAGATGAAGCAATTGTCTGCTGAGGCTCTGTCACGAGTAGAACCGGAGTTATGGTTGACATGACAACTGTTGTTATGTTGCTTGGTGACGATGATGACGACAAATTAAAGTAATGATGATGTCAGCGGCAACGGACAACAGTGGTGTTGATGATGAAGCCAATTCAATGACCTTCTTCAGCAGGTGAAAAGTGAATTGAAACTTTGACTAGAAATATCATTCCCAGAGTCCTCTTGGTGGATGAGTAGGAGAGGGCCCTGGAAACGTGGTTGGTTTAGGAGTTGGTTGATTGCCCGTAAAATGATAGGGATGGGAGGGTGGTAGAAATAAAGCAAATTGACTAGCTCAGACCAAAAAAACCCAACAGCAAAGTCAAAAGGGATTTTGGTTTTCCCGATGGTTCGGATGGTCTTGGCGTTCTTCTCGTAGGATTTACAAAAGGCCAGTAGGGATAAAACTGAAAATAATAACTTACAAATGAAGGACATGATGGACTCCTGTGAAGCACAAAAGAAAAGAAAAATGCCAAAAAGTAAATAAATGAGGAAAAATGGAACATGTGCGTAAGTCATTATTTTTAAGTTTTATCCCCACTGACTAATAGTATTTGCAGTTAGTTTAAAGTATTGTATCACATTTCCAACTGTGCCGCTTTCATGCTATATAAGGACGCTCGGACCATCCGAAATATCTGGAAACATTCAGTCGCTTTTGTCTTTGCTGTTTTGTTATTATGTGTTACACGAATTGACCCAAAGAAGGCGTGAGAAAAAAGTAAGCTTTGACGATAAGTTCAGTTAAACTTTTGGTCATGACATCTTGAGAGATTTAGGAGCAGTAAACGTTAACAAGCTGGGCAGCAATGATGAGGCACCGTGATGTGAAAATGTCTGACGCCTGTTTTGTTTTAACGTTGCATGGATGATGATGGTGATGATGACGACGACCATGATGCTGAGGACGATGATAATAATGATGTTGACGACGATGATGATAGCAATGTTGACGACAGTAATGTTAACAATGTTGACGACGATGATGCTGACGATGATGAAGACGACAACGATGATGACGATAACTGATGATAATGATAATGACGGAAACCCAAAGCTCAGTTAATGGCCATGGCGTCTTTAGCTGGTAAGAATCAGACAACTAATTCAAAAGCTTCTTTATCAATAGCTTCTTTAACCCATTCGCCCCTGGAGATTTTGCCGAAAAACGCGTTTTGAAGCTAGTCGAGTGGTTTTCTGGTCACTGTCGTGCTATAAAGAGCTAAAACTTACCACAAACTGGTTTACAGGTCGAACACTTCGCGGTCTTCCGATCCAGATGCAAAATATCAGCTTGCGAAGTTCGGGCATGCGCAGAAAGCAAAATTTCGACATAGTTTTTGGGTTTAAAAGTGACACAGCAGTCTTGACTTTTACTTTTCGCTTTCTCTCCTCCCTTCTTTTTTTGCTTTTCTTGCCTCATTTTTTTTTTCTCTTGCTGGGCATTTAGTAGGCTTGATTTTGGTGGGAAGAGTTTTTAGGAAAGCTTTTAGGATCTTAGGATTAGGCGAAAGGAAAGGTAGGTGGGTAATGGGACAAGATTTTCATGGAGATTTTCAGGTCAATGTCACGTGGTTTTTTGCTTGTTTCTCCGGTGTCCTTGACTGAATTGTGCTCATTCTGGTATGGTTTGAAAGATCTCTTCACTCTGCACAAGTTAGCGAAGAAAGTTGTCCTTGACCCTTAAAACTGATGACGTCACAATGGGTAGAAAGGACCTGGATCCGCACGGGCGGTTACGGGCGGTTCAGGGGCGAATGGGTTAAAAGACGGCTGGGAACGGG